TTAATTCTTAATTTTACTTTATTTATATTTAAAAATTAAAACAATTAATATATTTTCCCATTTAATTAGTCCCACCTACCATTTAATAAAATTAAATAAACTTTAATTAATTCTTCCATGAATTAAGAAATAATTTTATTAATTGAAAATTGATATTGAAGGACGTTTTTGATACTTTCTGAAGTTTAAGGTTGAATTGATTCAAAAATAAAAGTTGAGGGACCAATTCAGGTATTTAACCTAAAAAATATGTTAGTCACATCATATCACTATTCAATTAATCCTTAAATATGTTAGCCATGTCATATCACTATTCAATTAATCCTTAAATAGAAAAAGTTAAAAGTTGACATTCTTAAATAGAAAAGGTTGAAAGTTAACTTTCTTATTTAGAAAAAATTTAAAATTGATATCTTTATTTAAAATTTCACAAAATTAACATTCTTAAATAAAAAAAAAATGCAAAGTTAAAACCCTTATTTGTATCTTTACTCACCAAACATACTCTAAATACTCTAAATAAGTTAAAAGACCAGCTTTTCTGTGGCTTGGATAGTGTTAGCAATGTTATCCGGCATAGGACAAGCAATAAGATCAGAAGCAAACATTCCTGCATTGAAAAAATCAGTCACAGTGATAGATAATGTCGAAATTACAAGATAAACTGCAATGTTTGGTCGAAGAAATTTATACATGAAAATAAAAAAAATAAAAAAAAAGTTAGGCATAGTTTTTCACCTCAAGTAATTTTTTTTTTTGTTTATCACCTCAAATAATTATGTATATATATGGGGTAGATGTGTATCATTATTAATTTTAAAAAAATTCAAATTTTAATCTATGTTTTAAAATTAAAATCTTAATTTAAAATTAAAAAATTTATTTTATTAAATATTAATATTTTTATTTAAAAACTGCTTATAGTTATTTTTTGAATTAAATATTAATAAAATAAAATAACATAATTTAAAATTAAAATTTTAATTTATTTTAAAAATTAAAATTTATATACACTTTTTATATATATATATAATATAAATTAAAATTTACTTGTGTATATATAATAAATTATTAATTAATGTTATATAATTTAATATAATTTAAAATAAAAGAAATCAGCTGAGGCAGGTGCTTGAGATTGGACTTTGAGCATTATTACTGTTTTTCCATTAGGGGCAACCACCTGCAACTGCCAGCAGACGTGCACGTTCGTCCAAAAGATTTTTTTTTTTTTAAAAAAAAAAAAGAGAGAAAGAGAAAACGATAACTAATTTTATTGATATATCTGACTCGTCAAATGGTCGTACAAATCGATTTTCTAATTGTTTTTATTAGGATTAGGGGAAATTAATTAGACGGGTTCCTTGATCATTTGGATAAATCATATTAACAAATTATCCCATAATTAAGACTGGGGAGTTGAATGCACCAAACAGAAGACTAGACTAGAATAATATAAGAATGAGAATTTTTAAAAGGTAAATTGTTACTTAATTACTAATTGGAGTATTATTAATTTGTTGTAATAATTCAAGTTTAGGGAATCTAATTGAACAATCCGGTAGCTAGCTAGCTAGCTACCTGATGATAAAGATGAATTGTATTGAGTTATTTATATTTGTATATATATATATCAAGGTTAATCATAAAAAAAATATCACTTGTACTTTTAGACTCAGTGACATCAAGTCATGTTTAAATACATTCTTTCACTCTATGGCAACGGTTTGAATCTGGTCATGGTGAATTTATTAAAAAAAATCATCAAAAAAATAAAGAAAGAAAAAGGTTAATCATCAGTCATATGGGTGCTGGTTAGATATATAGGCAGAATGGTATAGTTAGCTTAAGTTTATGAGAGGTGTTCTCCATATCTGACATTCTCATCCAGCTAATACTTAATAGCTATCCCCACAATCCACACTCAAAATTTCCCTCATTAAATTACATTACATGCGCATCACATGCACTTACTAAACATTACATGCGCATGGATCACATGCACTTACTAATTTCCTGATTTCTCTCTCTCTCTGGACTCTGTCCTCTGGCAATGAATGATCCCATATTTCCACTTTCTTTTGATGAGTCACATGGCAGAAATATATTTAGCCACTTAGTTTGGCGCCCGTCCTCATCTAGTACACGGTGCCTACTCCATACCCATTTGTAGCTATATGTCGATTTCTATACATTGATATATATGAGTGTGGAGCTTTGGAATCCTAGCTATTCCCATTCCCATTTCCATTCCCATCGGTAAGTTTTTCTTTTGGTCCGGAATAGAACCAAGACTAACCTAGCTAATTAACCATTTCAAATACAAATAGCCATCCCTCCGCTATCCTTAATATGTCCAATAACAAGAAGTCTGCGTTATCTTGTTGTTAATGAAGCATTCAAGCCCCTTAATTTCTTTTAATTTACTAGCAATTTCCGCAATCCACAACACACGCACACATAGTATAATTATTATTTATAATTAATTAGGTTGAGTTGTTCTTGATTAGGATATATCCAGATATGAAGG